ATGAGGCTCCTAAGAGTCAACACTGCAGAGGAGAAAGGTTGGTTGTGCAGACAGAGTAGGTTCTGTCTCTTATACACATCTAGATGTGTATAAGAGACTTATATATATGTTTGAAAGGCAAATGGGAAAAACCCATAAAACAGCAAATGGCCATATAATGCAAAACAATTTAAAATTAAAATTAAAACGGAACAGTAGAAGAAAATCCGATCAGAATGACAAAATAAACTAAGCATCCACTGGAAGGAATCCCAAAATCTACAGACGGATCTGTTTCGGCCTTCCAGGCTCTTTCAGCTACAAACAAAATGAAACAGCAAGCATCAAAATATGGAATCCAATATAAAATACACACACTATTTATTAATACTACTGCCCACTCGTAAAACTCAATACAAAGTAAGCACAATCTTTCTTTTACTACTTATACTGTACTAACCAAACCGAGCCTCTGCTATCAAATGAATTCCTTCGCATACAGCTGCTGTAGTCTTATATACGGCGATGTATGCAAAATAGACTCAGATTGGAACTAACCCATCACCTTTATTTTCATTGGTCATTTAATTTATAATTTCCCATCAAAAGCTTTTTCTCTCAAAATCTATGCGGACCGATAAGTAAGCACTCACTGTGCTGTAATTGGTTGAGTACAAACTCGTATAGTGTAGCACTGTAGCAGGCGTAGGCGGAACGATTTAGGCTAAGCCAAAATTTGTCCAGGCCGGACCAATATTATCCAAGGAGGACTGATTTTGGCCAGCCAAAATCGGTCCCCCGGACAAATTTTAGCGGCTAAAGTCGATCCCCCGGACCAATTTTTGCGTGAAAATATCTTGGTGCATCATTCAGTTTTAGTAAGAAGAATGAACTGTTCCGCGTATTTGCATTAAAATTGATGAAACATCTGCTCTCCCGCAAATGTGGTAAAATGTGAACATTTTACTAAGGCCCTATAAAAAATATTATTAGTTTATCACCCTACAGTATCTATATACTGTATATATATATTTAAAAAAATTTTTTTTTTGGTACCATAGAACACGTGCACGCAGTGGTGATAAACTAATATTTTTTTTTTATTGGGCCTGTGGAGAAACTACAGGAAACAAATGAACCAGAGCAGTGCCTTTATTATTATAGCTGTATAGCGCTGCCGCGCGGATGGGGTAAAATTGATCTCTGTGTACCCACAATGCCTTTCGAACGGATGTTCTACTATAATTAGGAAGCTGCTCTATCTTCTGCTTAGACTTGCCACAAGTCTCTAATTATAGGTTTTCCTAGTATTAGCTAATTTTGGAGAGCGCCACCAGCGACGGTATATATCGAGATACTTTTATGCGACCAAAAAAAAGTATACTATGAAATGCCAAGCAAATAGGTAATATGGAATGCCATTGGTGCCAAAATTGATTTAAAGACAAAGATTAGGGACTGGAGCTCAGTCTATCTTCTGCTATTTATTATCTTTGGTATTACTTAAACACAAGATGACGTTCTCCGTGATTTTACGCGTAACAAATAGAAGCGTCGATTTGGCACAGAAAAGTAATCAGTTTTGGGAGAGGGCGTCCTAGTCGTTTGCCATGGATCTGAGATAGGGTGTTCGTGTTACGTCAAAGTTCGTTACCAAGTACGTTAATTTGTTCCTTACTGTATGTTCTAAAGAGAGGGTGCATTGTAAATCGGACGCTTCTAATTGTTACGCGTAAACGTAAAGTCGTGCAGAGTACGCTACCTGTATGGTCAAAGTTCAAAAGTTTTTAAAGAGGGTGCGGTACACTTTTTTATTACAGAATTTGCATGCGGAAAACGCGGAGGGTGCTATCTTGTGTTTATAAGCAGAGCCGTAGATAGAGAGAGTTTGGCCAACTTGGCGCATGGGCGCCATGTTGTCACCAAACAGCGTGCGCGTGTACAGCTTTATAACATTTTTATAAAACACTGATGCTGCATAAACTTTCTTTCTTTATTCTGTTCATGAGGACAATTCAATTATGGGATTTTAACATATCATTGTAAATATCATATATAATCATATTTACCTAACTTTGGGATTAATTAATCAGTGACGTGCTGTATTATTTCGAGAAGATAAAGTGAGGACGATTCTTTATTTTTTTTTCGTTACGATTATCTTTTTATTTTGAAAGTCTATCATCAAGGCCTACCTAGTTGTTGCTAGCAGCCTACTCTATATGAGGCTCCTAAGAGTCAACACTGCAGAGGAGAAAGGTTGGTTGTGCAGACAGAGCTGGTTTGTGAATCGTCGGCGATAATATGTTAATTTCGCCTGTAAATGGATGATAAAAATATTAATAACATGAAAGTTTTCTAATTGTATCTAGGCCTCTAGGCCTATGACTTCGTAAACTTTAATTTATGAACTTAAAATGGTCATCGTCTGGTCATCTTCAAACCAATACAAATAGCCTAGGCCTATTTGTAAATTGTAATCTAAACAATAAATCAAAGTTGAAGAATTATTGCA